GACGGAATTCCTCTCTGCCTCTGGGCTCTTGATCTTGAACGCTGACCGAAGGCACCTCAGAGAGGGCCGCCCGCGCCCACCAGGTGTGTCTGTCTGCACCTGCTCCTGCCTCAGCACCTGCATTAACCCCCCAGAGTTATCTCGTAGCTGCACTGGCCTCCGTGGGAACAGGGCATCACCACTCCGCCCTCTCACTATCATCTCACAGGCACCCACTCTCAGCACCCAGAACACCCAGACACTCTCCAAAGGACGTGAGCGCATCAGAGGGGATGTGTGCACATCCTGTGGGGGTGTTAGGCATGCCGGGTCGATGGAAGGGCAGTGGAGAGGCAGGGGGAACTTGTGCACGCCTTGGTTTGCAACTGTTGCAGGCGCGGGAGGGTGACAGTGTGCTGGGGGATGTTTGCATGCCAGGGGGGATGTGCACACCGGAGGCCTCTGGCTTTGCAGATCCGCAAACCCTCGTGGTGCGGCCAGGAGAACCAGGAGAACGTCAGTCTGGCCCGACACGGTGGCTGTCCCTGCGATCCTGCACCTTCTGGGCCAGGAGGCGGGTCTTGCGCAGTCACTCCTGGGTGCTGATGGCTGCCTCCCCGCTGTGAAGGGTCACGGATCCGAGTCCCAGGACCGTGCACAGCCTCAAGCGGTGGCCCCCACCCCCAGCCTGGCAGGGTCACAGATCCGTGTCTTGGTCCCGTGGACAGCCTCAAGCACTGCCCCCCCGCCTGGCAGGGTCACAGATCCAGGTCCCAAGACTGAGGACAGCCTCAAGCACTGCCCCCCGCCTGGCAGGGTCACAGATCCGGGTCCCGGGACAGCGGACAGCCTCCCGCGGTGCCCCCCTGTCTGGCAGGGTCACAGATCTGGGTCCTGGACTGCGGACAGCCTCCCGCGGTGCCCCCCGCCCGGCAGGGTCACAGATCCGAGTCCTGGACTGCGGACAGCCTCCCGCAGTGCCCCCTGTCTGGCAGGGTCACAGATCCGGGTCCCGGGACTGCGGAAAGCCTTGCCTGCTGCCGCCTGCCTTCAGTATGCAAATTAGCCGCCATCTTGTTGCTTCAGGGTGGGGGTCCCCACTGGGGTGCCTGGCCAGTCTGGGTGAGGGGCTGAGGGCTGTTTTCAGGCTGGCGGGCGACTGAAGCTCCAAACCTCTCCTTTTTTTCTTTTTTTTTTTCTTTTTTTTTTAAATATATATTTTATTGATTTTTTTACAGGGAGGAAGGGAGAGAGATAGAGAGTTAGAAACATCGATGAGAGAGAAACATCGATCAGCTGCCTCCTGCACATCTCCCACTGGGAATGTGCCCACAACCAAGGTACATGCCCTTGACCGGAATCGAACCTGGGACCTTTCAGTCCGCAGGCCGACGCTCAATCCACTGAGCCAAACCGGTTTCAGCTCTTTTTTTTTTTATTCTGGCATTTATTTACCTTCTATACCTGTCACTGGAGCTGAGAGCTGGCTTTCTCTCTGAGGCTCGGCTGCTGAAAGCAGGTTTCTGGCCTTTGTTTACCTTCTGTATTCGAAACAATGTTGTGGTCTTGCTGGCTGAAGCCTGGCTGACTATAGCCGGTTTCTGGGGTTTTGTTTAGCTTCTATATTTGTTACAATGTTTCAAACTGCAAGCTCAGAGGCCGGCAGCGCAGGGTGGGAAAGCTTGGCTTCCTCCGTCACTGAAGCAAGGAAGCCTCCCTGTTCGCTTCAAGCTGCCTGGCTGCCGGCTGCCATCTTGGTTGGCGGTTAATTTGCATATCTCACTGATTAGCCAATGGGAAGGGTAGTGGCTGTACGGCTAATTACCATGTTTCTCTTTTATTAGATAGGATGTTGTATCATAGCTGCAGTAGCATCTTTGTTTTTTATTTTTAAATATATATTTTTATTGATTTCAGAGAGGAAGGGAGAGGGAGAGAGAGATAGTGTTGCAGAAGACCAAAGAAAACCAAGCGACGCTTTAAAGAAATGGAGGGACACTGTTTAATTACGCCAGCGGACTCAGGGAATAGCTTCCAAATCTGAGTACTGAAACATGCAGGAACCTTCATTTTATATCTCCCTGTGGTCTTTGTCCTGCAAATATGGATTATGCTTCCGGTCCTTTTCGCGGGCTTTGCAAGGAGGCCCTCAGGTGTTGGGGGTCTCCAGGCCATATCTGATGGTTTGGCCTGATGCCAGTGTTAATAACCCTTCCTCTAGGGGCAGTGAACTGTTCAGTTTTATGGCCTCTGTAACAGGTTCTGCAAGACCAGTTTCTGGGAAGGAGGTAATGTCTTAATTATAGGTTAGCTGC